TTTTAGAGTCTCAACATCTTTTGTACATCGTGGTGACCTAAATTGGATAAAGTATTCCAAGTGCGGCTTTACCAAGGTGGTATTAACACTTCACATAATCTTATTTCTAACCCTCTGTTAATGCAGCCTACCACTGTATTGGCTTTTTTGGCAGTTGCAGCACAGTGCTGGCTCATACTTAAGTGATTGTCCACTAGGTCTTCGAGATCCCTCTCACAGTTACTACTATACTATACTTATATTATACCTGTGTATTTGGGGTTTTTTGCCTAAATGTAGAACCTTACTTTTTTCACCATTTAATTTCATTTTGTTAGAAAGCGCCCAATGTTCAAGTCTATCAAGATTTTTCTGTATCTTAAGCCTATCTTCTGGAATGTTGGCTATTCCTGCCAGCTTGGTGTCATCAGCAAATTTGATTAGTTCCCCATCTATCCCCTCATCCAAATCATTGATGAAGATGTTGAAGAGCACTGACTCAGAACAGAGCCCTAGGACCCCACTACACACTTCCCTCCATGTAGATGCAGTTCCATTGAAGAACACATGCTGAGTATGGCTACAAATTCATCTGGTGGTGATGCTGTCTAACCCACATTTTTCTATCTTATAATGTAGTAGGTTGTGGTCCACTTTATCAAAGGCCTTACTGAAATCCAAGTAAATTATATCCACAGCATTCCTCTGGTCCACTAATTTTGTCACCTGTTGAAAGAATGTAATAAGATGTAATAAATAAATAGTCAGTGTTTTATTTGGTCCTGAATTGTATGGACTTATGCTCATTGCCAGTCTCATTGTGATTCTCCCCCCCTGGACATGATGCATTCAATAAAACCTAGTTCATGTGTTTATTCTCCTAGTACCATCCTCTGGATAGTTATTTCACTGCAAAAGTGTAGTGGAAAATGTTTTCACCAGTGATTTTCAATCAATTTCCATAGGTGATTATTTCCCCTGTAATTATTAAATCAACCGTGATTACTTCTACAGCTTAAAAAAAAATACCATAGATAAATAACAAGGGTAATAGGTACCTAGACAGGTATAATTTCATCTGGCTACTATCACAACTGTTCAGAC